TTGTCAAAATGCATGTATTCTTTCAAACACAAATATGGCCTTATTTCACTACAATAATTGTGGTTCAGTAGTTGGTTTAAATCATATATATATATATATATATATATATATATTGCAGTATGCATTTGCTAATAAACAAAGCTGAAATCTCAGCTCTCTGGTTTGGGAACAGAATATTTTTGGATCAGAATATTTTTCAACATTTTTAATATTTGATGTTTTTTAAAATTCAGATCACTAAAAGAAATATCATGTAGGCTCACTTATCATTTATGACACTCTTTTATTTCAGTGGTGTACAGGGAACAGAACCAAAAACCTCAGATGTTGGATCATCTTTTGTCACTTTAAGTGTCATGGATTCCCTTTCTGTCTGATTTTGCTGTCCAAATATTTTAGCGTACTGTATGTGTGCAATGGTTGTCTTTTTTTGCCTCAATGCTTTGAAAAAACTCCATTCAGATGATGGGGTTTTGAACTAACAGCGGCTCCCTTTATGTTTTATTAATGCGTTGACGATGGGGTGTACCGCAGATCAAATACGTCTCATCATTCCCTGGCAGCCTCAGACACCCCCCACTTGCTTCGCTTCTTTTCCATTTCACTCTTTTTACAGGGAGAAATCCCACAAGACAAGACTAGCTGTTAGAGAGTGACAGAAAAGAAACCGAGCTTCAGACAGCCTCCATTTGGGAATATTCTGAAGCTTCTTTTCACCCCACTATCTTGTGTTTATGTATTTGGAAAATCTATGACAGCAGCTATGCTATTTACTGGCATGTTGGTCTTTCTCTTTTTTTTTTTTGAGAAAGTATAAATTTTGATTTTTAATGCCCATTGGTATGTAAGCAAAGCAGTTACGTTTAAACTAAAATCGAATGGTAACAAGCAAGGCAATACTGTATTATTATATTTTCAGGGACATTCTGCTGCTGAGGAGAAATTAGGCTCTGAAGGTCTTCCTATTACTTTTATGAGGTTCACTTAATGTCAGCAACTTGACAGCTTCTCAAGACAGAGTTCCTCTTTCCAATGGGATTCCATTAATGAATGTAAAATCAAGTTGTGTCTTCTTTGTGTCTGCTTTAAAAAGACACACTCAGCTTTTAGTTCTACCCTTGATATGGAAGATGAGGATCTAAGTTTCTGTGTGACAACCAGTTCAAATCAATGACCCAAACTGTTAGATTTGTAGAACATGATGTTCAAGTGACTAAATACAAAATTGGCTTGAACGGAGTGGAAAAAACTTTTCGAGAAGACTGAAGAGAGTTACGTAACTAACATTCCCCCTGGCTTGGTTTCTCCACACAGACCTGCTGACAAGGTAGAGAGGTTGCTGCAACAGGCTGTTCCACAGACAAACCACGTCAACCACCACAGGCTCAAGACTTCAGACTCTGAGGCCTCAAAACCAATTATCCACGAGGTTCTCCTGGAACCCATACACCGAGACCCGGAGGAGCTGTGCAGTTTTCACAAAGACTCTCCTGGCACCGTCATGTTGGAGCAGCCCATAGGAAGCACACTTCTGGAAATGGACACACACACGTCCCTTCCATCCAACCCCCCAGTCACCGCTGCCCTCCCACAGTCAAACAACGTGTCGGCCTCAGCTCCTGTGTCCAGGGTACCGTCCCGCGCTCCATCACGGGCCACCTCCACCTTGCCCTCCAGTGTTTGCACCAGGAATGGCCTCGTCTCCACGCCCAGCCCCATCCTGGAGCCAAATGGCATCGCAGCAGGGACGTACCAAAGAGCGCCAGACCCACCCGTGTTGGACACACACAAACATGTGCAGAGGAGGAATACTCTGGAGCAGGTGGAGCAGTGGGTCAAGGTTCAGAAGTCTGAGCACAGAGGGTAGGTCACCAAAATTTATTACACAGTATTTTGTTCAAAGATATGTGTGGACTGATGTGTTTCCAAAAATCAACAGGGGAGAGATGAGGTATACCCTGAAGAAGATTGAATTGCCAAACAGAGACGCACCAAACAGACAAGCATAAATGTTCACACATCTAACTAGAACCAATTAAAATCATCAATTATCCTAACATGCAGGTTTTGTGACTGCAGAAAGAAACTAATCAGGAAAAAAAAACTTGGCAATTCAAAAGAGAAAACATGCAAACTCAGCTAACAGCTACTCAAAGCTGGACCCATTCAAGACCAGTTTTCCACCTTCCAAAACAATCTAAATTCTAAATCCTCCCAGTTGTTTAGGCAATACTTTATTGAATTGTCCTTCTGGAAATAGTTATCCAAGTAAGTTAATTAAAAGAAACTGGGCTTCTTTATTGAATCTTGTCACTCTATTCTCTCCAAATGATTTGTTAACATGCACAAAGTTGAAAATTGGTGTGAAAATGTCTATTTTATTAGACATTTCTGTGCCTTAGACCTGGAAACTGAAACCATCTTGTCTGTTTAAAATTGGTCTATCTCTTTTGACATCGATGGCTTTTATGTCGCCTTTATTGATACAGGTAATCTTGTTGAGTCACAAGGTTTTATCCTCAAGAGAGACATGTTTCAAGTAAATGTACAAAAATGTAGTTAAAGACAAACAGTGAGGGTGCATACTGCAATTCTATACAAGTCTCATAAAACAAAGCAAACACTTTTGCTGTTAGTTACCCCAAACATTTCTGCTGGTCCCCCCTTTAGTTTAAAAGAAAATTTCCACTCCCACCACCCCTCTCTTCCTCATCTCCAACCAGACACAGATATTTTGTTTGCAGTTTATTTCATACATCAACCTTTTTTAACAGTTGAACTAATAAAATAATAAATTGCAGATTGCAGTAAAATAAACTAAAACAAACAACCTATTTTAAATAACAAAACACATTTTTGCTATAGAAAATAGTTTAAATGTAGCTTTTTTTAAACTCTGTGACTATGAACATCTATCAATGATATAATACTGTATTTTTTTTTCAAAAAAAATGCCAGTCTGTCAAAAAGGTTTTACAAACATGAACAACTTTGTATTTATGTGATTTCCACCATATTAGGATTGGTCTTTGGTCCCCATAAGGACCACTGGTCTTGACAAAATAGGTGTATACCAGAAATGGTCCTAAAAAGTTAAATACAAGTACACACACATAGTTTGGGAATCACTGAGTTAACTTGTTTCCTTTACTCCTCTCTTCTATATTACTGATATATTAGGTCTTTTTACATTTGTTCTTAAGTACTTACATACTTACGTATTTTTTGTCTTGACATGAAAATGATTTATCTGAAGCTTTAAGATAAAACCTGTACCAACTGTAACTATGCTTTCTGATAGAAGTTTGTCTTCTGAGAAGAACATCATAGAGATGCTTCAGTTCTGTTTGAAAATGTTTATTTCATTTAAAATGTTTGTTTTTATTCAACAGCCCCCCATCCAGAGAGAGCACCCTTCCTCGTCGCACACCACCAAACCAGCACAAATACACCTCCATGGACACCTACCAGACCCTGCCAAAAAACCCACACCACAGCCCACTTCCCGGTAGAGTTGGTGAATACAAGTACGCCCAGGACCGCCTAAACCACTTCCGTCTCACCCCGGATCAGGGGGGCCTGGGGTCCAACACTGTGTGGCAACTGTACGAATGGCAGCAGCGCCAACAGTTTCGACACGGGAGCCCCACCGCACCAATATACACCCCGGCTCCGGAGTATCCATTTGGCCCCCGCCCCCCATCCACTGTGCCCACCTCTTCCTCAGCTCCCAGGTCAGAAGGGTCTCCTCGCTGCGTGTCGGTGCCACCTTCAGCTGCAGACATCCCTCCACCAGGACCTCCGCCCGGCGTCAGCAGAACCCTGTCACCTGCACGGAGGCCGCACACGCCTGCTGAACGGGTGACGGTGAGGCCTAAAGGAGACATGTCAGCGTTGGACTTGCCCTTCAGCGTGTCCCCCCGGAGGTCCAAATCTCAGATGCTTAAGGTAAATAATTACAGCAAAAATCCAGCCCACCTGAAACACTTATGGTGCGTTCACACCAAACGCGATTTCAGCATCAGGAGCAGCAGGTTTACATGCAAAGTCTATGGTGGACGCGCTTCAAGCAACGTCGGGAAGTTCTGCGGCGCCTCAAGCGCGATTAGAGCAGCGCGATTTGAACGATTTGAACGATCTGAGCGTTTGACGCGCTGAGGCGCAAATCGCTGAAGTTAGAAAATCTGAACTTTTGTAGCTCGTCGCGCCGCGTCAACCAATCAGAGAGACTCCACTGTGTGACGTAGCGACATATTTCCCGACGGGACAATTTACTGAATGATGTCCACTAACCTGAAACAGATGGAGAGGAGCTCTTTAGCTGAAATCGAGTTCCAGCAGTCGCTGTCCTGACAGGAGATATCCGCACCAATGCGTGGCAGCGACTCATCAGACTGGAAAAATAGTCCTGAAAGCGAGCTGTGAGCCTCTACTCTGAATTATCTGGTGAATTAATTATGAATTAATTATCTGATGAACGTGACATGCTCTTGCTCTCTGTAAATAAAGCAAAGCCACTTCCTCGTCCGACATTAAACAGAGCCCGACAGAGGAGGGAGGGGTGGGGAGGCTGTTGCCGTGCAGCGCTTCAAGAGCTGTCCTGCATCTGACCTCAAAGTGCACAAGCTTCAAACTTCAGCGTTGGCTGCGATTTTGAAGCTGAAATCGCATTCAGTGTGAACGCACCATAAGGCTACATTCACACCAAAATCTGATTTTTTTTGGCCCATATAACCCGTATCAATTATTTATTTATTTATTTATTTATTTATTTATTTATTTATTTATTTATTTATTTATTTTCAAATCTGCCCCTGGCCTTTTCAGTATTTGGTACTAAATCGGATACATATCTAGTGTTTTTCAAAGTGACTTCAGTCTGAACGCTCATGTCACATTACATCTGACTTACAACAGTGAGGTGGGGCTGAACGGATCGATCCAAAAATAATGAGAGTAACCTTGAGTCATTTTCAGCTACAGAACAGAAGTCCAGGTGCTTTGTCTTTGTTCTTTTAGTTTTCCATGTCCTGGATGACTGAGAATTTGCAGACCGTGTCAGACCGTATTGATACTAAAGTTACTCGGTTGAAACTTTACTTCCAGCACATCGCTTCATTCCAAAAATAAAATTCTGCACCGGAGCATCCGGTCAGATGCAGGTTCAGATATAAACGCTGAACTAAATAAGCGTGAGATCATTATTTAATCGACTCTGATTGAACAACTTCAGAATCAGCATGCTAATGAGTAGCATCTGTGTTTAGCTAATTTGGAAAACAAGTGCTAACCATTAAGCTATTGTGCTGTCTTCAAATTTGAGTCTAAAAACTGTGGAATTTTACCTAGTAAAACATTTAATTTATAATCAAATATTTACTGTGAATTTGTGTGTTCATGTTTTATAGGCTGCTACAGTAGAAAGGCGCTCCATGCCTCCGTCTGGTTACATCACACACACAGTGAGTGCACCCAGCCTTCATGGCAAAACGGTAGGTTTTAATCTCCGGTGTGTCTCAGTTACATTTATATAATGCTTTTTGGACAACATATCATAAAAACTTAACATTTTAAAAATCAAGCTGTTAAGAAGTAGTTCTGTTGTGTTCAGTTTCAGCAGCTGTGTGTAGGGATGTAGATTTCTTTGCTTTCCCTGGTTATATATTTCTGCAAACCAGTTGCTTGTTGATTTTTAGCATATTTTGGCGGGAAGGCTTCTACCAGCCTGTTAGCAGAATTTCTTTGTACCAGTGCTTTTTAACCAAATAATTCTTTTAATTTAGCTCTAGTTCTGGCCTTCAGTCACAACTTGTGTCCATTTCTTGCTGTAAAAGTCAAAGATGAGATGTGGTCAGTGTTAAAATCTGCCTGACGGGAGCATCCTGTGGTGTCTGTGACAGCCTGAGGAGCTCACTCTGCTCCTCATACAGCTGCGCCGCAACCAGGCCAAGATGGCCTCTGCACGCCAGCAAACGCTAACCCAACTCCAGCAGTTCCACAGTCCCCAAGAGTCCTACCTCAAAAACCGCCTCCTTGCTGCTCCCACTGCTAGCACAAGCCCCGTCCTCAGCTCGAACCCCTCTCCTGAGTCCCACCTCGGACACGTGGGCCTCTCAACTCCAATTGGCCCTTTCAGCACCCAGGTGGGAGCCCCAGTGATGCTCCTGTCCTTGTTTTACAGGAGCTGGTAGAGGTTGCCAATAAGTTTTCTTTGTATGTGACCAACAAAGGTTTAACATGTTGGGGATATTTTTAACTTCGTGAGTGGAGCTTTATTTTGGTACTTTGTAATCCCCTGCTGTAACAAACAACAGTAGCCTGGTGTCAGTCATGGCAACCTCGACCAAAAAGCTCTTTTGTTTGGTGTCAGTGATTGCTGGCCTGGCTGCTGAAAATCATCTTATTATCATCGGCTGTTCTTGGCTGATCAGTTTCCACATTCTGCTTTTACTGATCACGCCCACAGCATGTTGGGTTTCTATATTTTTTGTGTGTACAAAGCCATCCCATGCTTTACCTAATTGGCAAGCTTTAGGTGTGTTGGTTAGTTTGGTCCTCTGGTGAATGACTCTGTTGTGCTGGTTGTGATGAAGCTTGTTTTGTTGTGGTTTTGATGTCGATGTCATGAATTCAGTGGTGAACCCAGTGATGTTTTGGGATCTGTTGTGTCATGAGGGGTCTGGTTTGTGCTGTTCTGTTGTTTGGATATGCTTGACTTGTCTCAAGACAAAATTAGTCTTGACTTTTGAAGTGTTTGTGTCGGTTTGTCAAAATGCATGTATTCTTTCAAACACAAATATGGCCTTATTTCACTACAATAATTGTGGTTCAGTAGTTGGTTTAAATCATATATATATATGGCTAGATAAGTCATAGCTGAGACTCCAGCATCCTCACACGGCGGCCATCTTGGGACGAGGAGCTCGCCCACTCTTAACATGAATGTGTGTGGTGTATTTACTGTTTAAATAACCTTAACTTTGTCAGTTTTCATCGGATTTTCAAACAGATTTTTTTGTTGTAAAGGTGAGACGTGTTATTATAAAAATGCATACTTATAATGTGCATTCGTATAATAATAATAAAGTATAATGAAGCATAATAAAGTAATATCAATATATACAGAGAAAACATTTAGGTTATTTTTACAGGTATTTACAAATAAAAATATTAAGTAAAATTATATACAAGTCTATAAAAAAATAGTACAAAATAGAGCTAGCAGTGGTAATTACTATGAAAGAACCCTGTTTTGTATTTTGTTTAGTTTCTTTCCTAGACATGCAAATATTAGCCTTTTATAATTCTTTTACATAATAAAATAGTGCCTTACACACACACACACACACACACACACGTGTGTGTGTGTGTGTATATACTGTATACACA